TATGATACCTAGAGGCTCTGCACTGATAGACTTGTGCCCTTGAAGAAACAAGGCCAGCTGACTTGCAGTGCAAAACGCAACACCCCGTGCATCTGCTCCAACCTCAGAAAATGCTATCTGATGAATGGGGGTATCATCCTGAGCTGCAAAGGTCCCAGCGGCCAGTTCAAGCTTACAAGGATCAATGTGGAGAGGAGCAGACGGCGCCTTAGAGGCAGTCTTGCGCTGCTTCTTGGCCTTAGCCTTGGGAACACCGAAACCCGCGGTTGCCTTCTTCTCAATATGTCGGCTAAGCTCATCAGCCGAGACAAACTTGAACGAAGCATTCGGCTTGGACGCTGCCTGCTTCAGCTGGCTCCATGGGTTACGGGAAGTCAGCGCAGAACATACTGCCACAGAACCAAGCTTCTCAACTGCAGATTTGACACGACCAGCAGCAAGGTCCTCTGGGACTCCCTTCTCGATCAACAAGGCGCGAAAAGCAGTCTCTTGCTCAGCAGAGAGACCCCCACTATACCGGCTGAGTGCGCTGCTCCAGTCGGAACAGGCCGCAAATTGTCCAACAGACTTGCCAACTTCGGCAAAGACTTCGCTAAAACAAGCCCTGCACGCAGAAGCGCCACATGGCCGCATGTGCCCTCAACAAGCTGCGGAAACAGGTTGATTTCCTTACACTCTGTGACTGACCTGCCGGTAAGACCCGCAATAAGAGACACCAGGCGACCTGCAACCTCCATCGAGCGGCCCGGAAGCCCATCATAGCAAGTGGCAACGATGGCTGTGTCTCCCTGTGCCTGAACCTCCAGGCATGCCCAGTGGCCGGCATGGAGAAATGCAAACAGAAGGTGTGGGCTGCGGAAATGCTCCCAAACAAGTACAATCTCAACAACAGAAGGCGGAACAAGTTGCACATCAGGCCTGTCTGCAAGAAAGGCAAGTTGCTGCAATGTGCTCCAAACCAGTGCATCGGTGCCAACAGGCGACACAAGTGCGGAAAGCACAGGCCTCGCATCATAAACCACATCTCTGCAGACCTTGACATCATCTGTCACCCGGAGCATGGTGAAAGGATCGTACAAGGCAGCACTACGCAAGTACTCATAGGCATTGGCACCTGAAGGGCAACGCAAGAACCAGGGCCCCTCAGCGGACAGCAACACCATCTGACGCAAGACCGGGGCAGGATGTGGCGCAGTGCTGTCAGACGGCAACATGACCTTGCCTGCTTTCTTCTGCTTGATCAAGGTCTTTCCGGAAACATCACCCTTTTCAGAGACCTGAGACACAGACCTAGGGCCCCAACCAATGGCAAGCTTCGCCCTCAAAGCGACTTTATAGTCCTGCAGCAGGCCCTCCGGATTCACCTGACTCGAACCCCTGAAAGCAATGTCTGCCCAACAGCGGACCTAGCCGTAACCCATAGTGACTGTAGTGGCGCGGCCAACTGACCAACTAACACCAGTGCTGCCCTTGGGTCCGGCAAATGGCAGAAATCGGGAGGCAGGGTGTTGAGAAAACCAACCTCGGCGGGGTGGGGGAACCTATATCCCTGAAGCAAACCGGAGAAAATCCCAAAACCCCGAAGTTTACGGCTCTGCAATGACTGTTCGGAGAAACCTCGCAGCCGGCACCCGCAGGGGCATGCCCTGAGAGCAGCCCCCCAGGAGCGCAATGCGGTGGGTGCCTGAGCGCAGATGTTCAAACGACGGCAATCATTCCCATACGTGGGATCGCCATATTTTTGGGCTTCCTCTTCCGTCCAAGCAAGTGCTAGCTCCTCATCAATTGGCCACTCAGGCCACTGGCTAATTTCGTCCCCTATGACAGGCTTAGGGGAAAGCTGTGGCCAAGCAGTAAGCTGAAATGACGGCATGCCCTGTGGTAGCATGGCGCACCACCATCTGCACCTTCTAGAGATCCACTGGTCCCCGAGTTCCAAAACCACCTGATGAATCTTCATGCCCATGTGAGAGGCAAAAGTTTGCAACAAGTCCCGAACTTCAACGTGCTCCTGCACCTCCGGAACACATTCAAGCAAAAGGCCTGGCGCCTGTAACTGCCAAGCCAAGCGAAGCACTGAGAGGAGGACTTGACCCCGAGTATCCTGCAGGCCCCGACCGGAACCCTGAGGTGAATAACTGTTGCATGGGAAGCCAGCGCTCAACAATCCTGTGGCATGTGAACACTTCTGCACTACCGCCTTTCGAACTTCCGGCTTTGTGTGTCACCCTCAACGACAACTCCATGGTTCAGCTCCACAGTCCGACAGGCGATGCTTGCTTTATCATTGAAGACCAATGTCCGGAACCCTGCGAAATGAGCCCCTATCGAGATTCCTCCCAAGCCGCTGCAAGTCTCGATCAGTGTGATGAAAGAATCATGGCTGAGTGCTGGCTTTTGACTCGCATATGAATCCACAGTCTGTTCCAGGACTCCTACTCCGTCTCTGACCGAAACAAAGCGATAATCAAAGAGCGTCCATGTGCCCGCCCCTAACCCTTCAATGAAGAATCGATCTCCGTGCCACCATCCAGTGTAGAAGCCCGGACTCACCATGGCCACCGTGATGTCGACCAGATCTCCGCTGCGCAGCCCACTCAGGCTGACATCTCCGACCGTCATTATCCCTCAAGCGTTTGGTTGATAGCAGGCCTACCGCTGGCAGGGGCTTGAGCCCAGACCTACTAAACCCTATATAATCCCCTATATGACCCTATTGAACCCTATGGAACCCTATATAATTCCCTATCTACCCCCCCTTTAAGGAGCTTAGACTATAGCTCACATGACGAAATCCCAGGCCTCTCGCTGACGCCGTTGCTTGGCCCCTTCAGCCTCGCCAGAGCGGCGGACAGCATCATTCACAGCGTCCCGCTCTCGCTCCTGCAAGAATGGCTTAGGGTTTAGGGTTTAGGACCTTGAGCATTGGACGCCCGGCCTTGCCCAGGCGATCTAGCTCCCTGGAGTTGTCTGCGGCACCCTGCCTAGGATACATGAGTCACAAGTGTGTTGAAAATCCATCCAAACCGGGAGGAAGTGCAGAGTGCGGAGTCTCTTTCATCTCAGCGCGGGTTTGCAACCCGATCATGTGCCGATCTACGAACAGTAGCCCACCGAAATCAAAAGCTGCTGCAATGCAGTCTCAAGCCGCTGCATGCGCATGCCTTGCAGCACCTTGTCCTGCTGTCTTTTCCGCGCAGCATCCCGCCTCTCAAGAGAGCAAGGTTGTGGCGAGGCTGGATGAGCAAAACAGTCAGAGCCTGGCATAGTGTAGGTCTAACCTGAGGTTGTACTGCTTCTCATCACCTCGCCGGGCAAGTTCCGAGCTGATTCTGCGCTCTCAAACCGTGCGATGTCTGGGGATGGAACGGTCTTGTCGCATGCTCTCGTGCTGGTGCCGCTGTTCCAGCTCACCTCTGCGAAAGTCATGGGGTGCTGCGCATTGAAAGTCTTTGGATTGTATGCGCAGGCTGGAGGGTCAAATTGATTTAAGTTGAGCTGCGGCCAGCGGTCGCATGGTAGCGAGCCTTGGCGGGGAGGGTTCAGCACAACCTGGGGCTGGGGGACACGCACTCAGCAGTGAAGGCCTCCTTGGCATCTGCATTGCGCTGTGCGGCCTTCAGCCTCTCTTGCTGGGCGGCTAGTCGGTACTGCTCCTGGCTCAGGGGTTCTCCGAAGAGGTGCAGATCGGGTCCCTTTCTTCTGGCCGTTCAAGTTCCCGTTCGATAAGACAACCAGTTGGAGAAGTCTGGGGCGTTCCGCTTTCCACCGTTGGTCTCACCTGTATGACCCCAATCTTGGATCTGGCTTGCAAATCCCTGTCTGCATCTTTTGCCGGCTGAGGCTTCGTGGTCCTGCAGCAGCTGCTCGCGCATCCTTGCATTCAGCTCATCTTTCTCCTTGGTTCAGCAGGGTGGGCTAGACAGCCGTTGGCCGCGCAGACCTATTTCGACTTACCCAGGCAAAAGGTCTTTTCAGCACTTCTCTGGCAATATCCGACAAGTCCAGCAGCAGCTCGGTTAGGCTGAACCAGCTTGTCTGCAAACAGGATGCTGCCTGCTTTTCGTTGGTGTTAGTCATTGTGCGGCGCGCGATAGCCTCAAGCCTTACAGCAGCTTCCCGCACATGCCTGCATACCTGCAGCAAGCCTTACTTCTGCAGCAAGCTGGGGCACATTTCATTGCCATGCTTCTTGAGTTCCTGTTCGGGGCAGAGCAAACGAATGATGAGTCGGATGCTAACAGGAGCCTTATCTGCGGCATTTGGTTCCACAAAGCTGGCCCTTGGCCTCTCTGCGCTTCTTCTGGGCTTCGAGGTCTTCGCACAGTTGTTGGATGCTCCGAGCCTTCACGCTTCCATCAGATTCAACATTCATCATGAGATGGCCGCTGCTAAGATCAGCTTTGGAATGATTCAGCCCCACCTTGATCTCAGCTCCTTCCATGAGATCCTGAAGCCGAGCTTCCCTGGCGCGCTCCTCGATAAGGGCCATTTGCTCATCCAGGCCTTTGCGCATGGCCATGCGCTTCTCATTCTCATTGTCCTGGCATGCCACTCGCTCAATTACAGCCATTGACATTCGACCCTTCATTGTGGCTACATGTGAGTCCTTCTCCATCTGATTCCGTCGCTGCTTGTTGAAAGAGTCCGCAGTGACTGTCTTTATCATCTCTTCAAACTCATTGTTTTGAGCTTGCCTGCGCCAGCACCCCATTTACCACTGTTCGCTCGTCACCAACTCCAGATTTGGACAGCAAACCCTGAGCAATCCCGGCATACAGACATGACTGGCTTCACCTAGGCTCCATCTTCCAGATAGTGGACCCGGGACATTCTGCAACCAGTGGACTGAACACGGTTGAGCCATCATGAGCCCAATTGCAAGCCCTCAACATCCAATCGATGGTCAATTACAAGTGTGTCGCAAATGTGGGGACGGCACATGGCCTCGCTGCACCCTCTTTCAGAAACAAGATCTAAGGCTTCTAAGGTCAGGCCGGTCAGGCGTTTAGCAAGGTCAGCACAGCTACAGCAACTGCAACTCCTGACTCGAACGCGTCACCGACCCGATCTCCAGATGCCCAATCGCCCCCAGCAACAAGCTTCCGCTCAGGCTCCACGATGCACTTCTTCGGAAGTTGCAAGGGGTTTAAGGGAAACGCATTGTTCCAGCGGAACGCCTCAGCGTAGACCACCGCTTCATTTTGGCATCCGAACTGTCGACAGAATTCCATCAGAAGCAGCTTCCGAACTTCGTCTTTGGAAAGCTCCGCCCGGGGATTGCTCCACTCTGGGCAGGTGTGCAACACGAAACACTCTGGAGCTGGTGGTTTGGGCCTACTGGGCTTGGAGGTATTTCGGCTGACCCATGCGAAGCAGGAAGAACCATCCACCAACGCGGCATCCCAATCAGGTTGACAAGTCAAAGGCTTAAAAGATGCCACGAGAAGTGCCCAGCAAACGTTGGATTTCACCTTGGACGCTTCACAACCGCTTGGGCAAGCATCGCCAAGCATGCGCACACAACTTCTTGCGCTTGTGGTAACTGCCAAAACCGAAGTTTTCACTGGCTCCGAGTTGACTTGCAAAGTCCACAAGTGCGAAGCATCGTCCCATGCAGCGTCCGAAGCTTTCGAGCTCGTGAGAACGTCGACATCATTCTGACCGTCTTGGGCTTCACGAATGATGTGCTTTCCGATGGCACTCATTGAGGGAATACCCACCAGAGGCACCTTTGATTGATCAAAGGGCTCGAAGATCGCATCCTCCATCCCGATGCCCTGAAGACTAAGCTTCCCTACGGCTGCATGCCAAGCACCTGCAACACCAGCATCCTGCCACATCCTGCAGGCATCGGAAAAATGTGGCTGCGAGGTCTTTGCGGTGAAATATTGACAACCGTGATCGAAAGCGAGAGGGCCTTCGGTTGTTTCCCTGCGTCGCGTGCAAACACGTCCACCTAAGCCCCGTCCCTGCTCTATCAAAAGCAGCCGTAGTTTGCGGCCGTGGACGCGCTGCTTTGCAAGCCTTCCAACAGCCGCAAGCCCCGCAAATCCACCCCCGACGAGAACGACATCATAGCAGTTGTTGGGCTCGTTCGCTGATTTCGCTGCTAAGGCGCCGGTGAAACGCCTGCTGGCGGCCTTACCCTGCCGGGGTCTGCTGGCCAGCACTCTGCAACCCGACCATCGCAGAGCAAGCGCCAGGTCCATCGAGGCAACAGAACATAAACCTAAATATCGTTGACCTCAATATTGTTGGACAATGCGTATACAGTTTGGGCCAGCAGCTATAGCTGAGCAGTGCTTGGACTAAATGCCAGGAGGTTGATTCTCACTACTTCCAGAATGCCACTCACATTCAGTTGGCCTGAAGGCTCTGTTGTCTTCCAGCTGCCTGTCAAGCCTCACAGCAGTAGGACACTATCGAAACGAAAAAGTGTTGATGCCAACAGGCTTCAAGGCCACCTAAGTATTGAAAACTAGAAACAAGTGGCCAGGACTGCAGGCAAGGAGCTCTCGTCGATAGTAATCCTTCATCGCCCATTTGTGCTGCTCTCTTCTCTTCTCCTTGCAAATTGCGCAGCCACTTCCTCTTGAAATTGCAGGGCAGGGTCCCACTGCTGATTCTCGAGCTTTGATGATACCAAGTTGCTTCTTCAACGAAGGCTTTCGCATCAAACTTGGTACCAGCCTTGAACTCCACACTGCCAAGCGCAGGCTTGAAGCAGCCACCGCTATCAAAAACGGTTTCACGCAGGCTCTGCCAGCATTGTATGTTATGTCAGAACAGCATCTCATAATAACGCAATGAGCCTACTTCCAACACCTTACAAGGAGCAAGCCAGACTGGCCTGCTTCAGCGGATTGTCCGCTGTGTCTGTCCACATGGCCCTCGGGACGTACACGTCATCCGCCGCGCTGGGATTATGACCTGCCAGGACGCGGCTTGTAGTTTTTCCACACTCACTGTTGGCGCCAAGACATGGCATTCCTTTGATTGCATGCGCATGTTTTTCAATCCGCATGCTCCACATACTTGTTGTGATTCATGTCTATGCGCATGCTCACTAGCAGACCTGCCTAGTACCATCCCGAAGTCGTTCTCTCCGCGATTTCGCAGCGTCTTTCTAATTGAGGCCTCTGCAGCTGCGAACGGAGACAGGGCCCTTGCCCTGGCATAGCTGGCCAAGCTGTAGAGCTTGTTACAGTACAGTATCACTGTGCAGCCTGTCCTCCTGCAGTCAAGCGTAAAGCTGTCCGAACACTAGGCAAAGCACAGCTATTCAGTTGGTGTACTTGCTTGCTGTGAAGATCTTCGTGTATAGTGGTGGTGATAATAGACTTGGTAGTCCTCCTCCTGCTTCTCCTCCTCCTCAGGTAGCTACCGATTGTTCTGATTGTGATACCAGCAATACCAATTGGGGTTATGCAACTTGCTCCCGCACTCATAAAATTATCCCAACCCCTTCCAGACATTTCTCGCTCCAAATACCCCCACCTGCAATCACTTCTGGCCCTTTCTGGATGCCGTGCATTCATTTCTCTGGCCCCTATCTCAGTCTGAGGGCAACACAGAAAAATGACCCCTTGCGCAAATTCCCCACCCCTTGCCTCCCACACCCAAACCGCTAATTATCTCAGTTGCCACATCCTGCGATGTCCTATTTTGGGAGCCTCAAGACCCCCTGCAATTTTTTGGGGGGAGTAGATAAAACTAAATGATACTAAATGATTGCTGAACATGTGCGCATTTAACTGCCGCACCCCCTTGCAGCCCTTGCAATGATTTCCTGCGTTGGGGGTGATAGACGGTGTGTCATAGTAAGCTGGCTTCCAAGGTGCATTCATCGTGCCCTCCAACTGAGGCGCACTGGACGATTTCATCGGTGTTCGCGCCGCGCTGCGCGACCCCTGCTGCGACAATGCGTTTCATCAATCAGACCATCAATGCGACCAAGGTCTCTCTGCCTGATGCTGCAGCAACGAAATTTGATGTTCTTTTTGTCTGATGCTTGCTTTCAAGGGCCAAATTTTGACACCCCAAGGTGGCTGTCCCAACCAGACAGAATGGTGGCGGAAAGATGCAGGCGTTTGTACGTGCCTTCGGCCAACGTTTGCCCTCGTTGCGAAAAAATCTGAGTGCTTCAGCAAGCTTCAGCACATCAATGTACAAGAAGTATCTGCCTACTACGTCTACGCCAGCCACGCTTACAGACGACAAGCTCTCGCAGAGACAATTAGCTTGGCTGTTCTTTGGAATGTGTGGCTGCCTACAAGCACCCCTGCACGCTTCAGCACTGGTCAGCGCTAAAAGCTTTGAAGCAGAGATCGCCAGCCCAGATGGTTGTCCGAGCTTATCTTCAACAAATCGCTGCTCTCTGCGTTCCCTTTCCTGAGAGCACGGGGTTTCCCGTCCGAAGACATAGGCTATCGGACTGCAGCCAAGATCGGGAAGAAGTAGAGTGCAACCAAATGTGCGATGCTAAGGCCAGGTGCCAGCTTGAATCTGCTTGTTTCTACATTATGCATTTTACACCTCGCCTGGGCAGACAGAACAAAACAAACATTTCAGAACCAAGACTCAAGCTCCAAAGAAAAAGCTCCGGAGCCGTTCTCGGATAGCATGCTTAGACTCTTGCATGAATTCAGGCAGCTCTGCCAGCCTATGATTCGGTGGCCTCTCACTGCCACTTCAACTAAACATCTACCGCAAGCCGTTCCACTGAGGAACAAATGTGTAAATGCTGCAGATGCTGCAGGTTGCTTGCTGCCGACAGATCCGGGAACAGTTGTCATCAAACGTACTATAGTGCGAATGCTTCAACAGCTGCATGCTGCAAATGCAAAGGAAACAGTTAGTCCCCATTTGGATTCTGTTGGCCTTTGCGGGAGTAGGCTCCTAGTTGCTGCGTCTGACTTTTCAATCTCCCAGCAGCTAATCTTCTGGTGTACTCACTGGCGCCAACTGTGTGAGCAGATTGCTGCCTTCGCAACTGTGTCTGGCCGGTCGATGTGAGCCCTTGGCCGCTCTCCAGAAGGCTGCTGGCCACAGCTGAGCCCTCTTCTGATGTGATGTGGACCACCCTTTGGCATCGGTTGGTCTTCCCCATGCACGGCTCCGAGCGTGACAAGTGCCTTGCCACAGCGCCGAAAGATTCGGTCTCAGCCCCTTCCTCTCTGTGCGCAGAGTGGGGAAGAAGATGGAAATCATCTCGCAATGCTTTTCCTTGAGCATCCTTGATACGAACACTGGCCGCGCAACCCATGATGCCAGCGAGGCTTCGCATCTATTAGCCTAGTAGCTTTTGAGCCCCCTGCGGACATGCTCCTGGTCAACAGATGTTGCTTGGGTTTTTTGGCATCGTGGCTGGGTGGGAGCAACATCTCATTACAGGAAGCCTGAAGAAGTTTCTTATCCTGAGCCGGGCCTGCGAAGTCGGCATCGCTCCCAGGCTTGGCCGGCTTAGCCGGAAGGCTGGGAAGGCCGTCACGCTCGGGCCACATGCCAAGAGAGAAGCAGAAGATGCGGCGTGGCATCATCTACTTACATGTTGCATGCTAGCTGGCGACAAGCAGCAAAAGTCCTTGCATCTGTAACTGTTAGCAGGAAGCCGCCGCCCCAGGATGCTCGACCCGAAGGCGCCATGGACATGGCTTTGCGGTTGCAGCATGGCGCACCACGGGCGGATCTGTGCCACTACGTCTCAAGCTTTGTACGCTGGTCACTGCAACACTTGTGTCACATCTTGGTTGGGTCTTCAACTTCGTGTGCATTCTGCGATTATCTGACTGCTGGGCTGTCCTTCCCCGAGATCACAGGGAGATTCACTGATTCTGCTGCATGCTGACAGCATCTGACAGTCGGCTTGTCAGGGCTTACTGCGGCCAAGCAGCACTGAGTCCAAGATTAAGATGTAAATGTTGGGTTGCCTCGCTAAGTGCGAGTGTCCTGAACACAGGGCCGAGTGCCAAATCACCCTTGAACGCATCGCGTGACATGAACCTACTCACTGGAAGCAGGATGCTACGCTGCTACATGTTGCATCCTCGAGCGTGGCTCCCTTGTGCCCGCTGAGCCCCAGGAAACGCCGAGGTGTGTAGCCTTGGTAAGTTCCCGAGGCCCAACGCAGCAGATCTGTCATGGTCCACCTATTGCAAACACACTTTGGCCGCCGCGCGCTTCTGCCAGCACTCTCCACCAGGACACTGGCAGCTCTTACCTGTCAGTCGCACAGCCATTGAGAAACGGTCAATCTCAATGGAACGACTCACAGATTTTATTCTCAGCTCAAAGAGCAGCAGCGCGCAGCAAAAATCTTGCCCTGGCCTTCACATGAGCACCTTCAGCTCCTTTGCCAGCGCAGGTGCTTGCGCACTCAAGATATTCTGGCAAAGCACATGTCTTCGGCACTTCTAGCGGCTGAAGACAGAAATGCTCACCCAAAGGAATGTCTATCTTTGGATCCCATCTTGTCACTGTCCTGCGGTAAGGAGGTAAGAGAAAGGCTTTTTGGTGACAGCAGCGGGCAAAATGCGAAGGCGAAACTCCCCCTCCTGAGTAGCGTAGATGGGATGTTGCACTGCCGTTGGCCGCTGAATTCAAGGAACAGGCCTGCGAGATCGTGAGGTTTTCCCCTTGGAGTGAGCTGGACCTCGGCAATATCCATTTGCGTTTCGAAGGGCTCCTACGTGCACATGCTGCAAGATGCAATACCAGCTAGCAGTCAACATGATGATGCTAGTTTCTTGATGTTTCTCGGGCAGCGGCAGCCAGGTCCCTGCCGTCTTTGCACAGGGAGCCTGGCAAGAGCTTTCCAACTGCTGCTGCTTCCCCTTTCAGAAATACCTCCCCAGTTCTCTCCGCATTCGCGGACTTCTGCTCTTGCTCTCAATCTACTGGTATTGTTGGCCCTCCGGGGCAGCTTGAGACCAGCCTTCGAAGCGGGCTGAAGTTCCGCAGCGATGCTGCGCAGGTTGCTACGTAGCTCTCTGACCTGTCGGGTCAGCAAGTTGTCCTGCAAAAGCTCAGCCTGCATCTGTGGGTCCTCGGCTTCCCGCACAAGCGACATCTCCACGGAAGCCTTCTTTGACATCCGACGGCGAGGAGAGCACCTCTGCATTCGGCCACTTGCGCAGCGAACCCAAACCCACTCACGGCACAGTCGAGCGTGGCTTGCAATCCAAGAAGCGGCTGCGACATTTAGGCAGGCAAAAACTACCTTCATGTCGTGCTACCATGCCCGGGCCAGCTCATCAGACTAAGTATCTGCTTCGCAGGCCCCTGGGTAAACTATACCGTGCTACAGCTATTGATTCTAGTAGGCTTGCCTTGAGCCTCGAGCCCTTCCGGCCCAGCAGATGTGCGTGCATCGGGTTGGAGCTTCATGCCATGAACATATCCTCTAAGATGTGCTCCCCAGGTCCCTGCGAGTCCGCAAACCTAAATCAACAGCCCGTCAGCATACATCTGCAAAAGCAGCACCACCTCGAAGGATTTCGTCCTTGGTTGTTTTGGGGGCAGCTGCATGATGCCATCAGCTCTCTCGTGTTGGGTACCAGGCGCCCATGGAGCTGGCGCCCCACAGTTGTTGCAACGCCTGCAGGGCTGTGGGGGCGCTCTCAGATACGGTAACAAAAAAACTCTCTGCGGGCGCGGCTGTCGTTCGGGCTTGTTGTCCTCACCGCATTGCGGGCCTCAACCGCTGAATCCGCAGGTCCATCATGTCAGCCCCAACTTCTAAGGTGCCAGCATTCCCACCTTTCGCGGGTCGGGGAGGCGATGCTGTCCTTGCAAGCACAGATCCACGGCCAAATCATCCGCAGGCCTGCCTAAACTCCTTATGGTCAATGGAAGAAAGTACACCTGGCCGGAAGCAGGAACCAAGACGGCAGAATCAGAACCACCAACTGGTTGAGGACGGCTACTTAGGCAAGCAGGCTAATGCCAAGCAAAAACCTCCCTGACATCAATGCAGTGGTTTAGATTCTGATTCAATCAGGCAATCTGGATGATGAGGGCCACAAGGCAAACCAAGATCAATGCAACGTGCGCGCAAGCCCTGTTGTTCTATTCATTCTTTCCCTGCTTCTGCCGAAATCCTAAGTCGCCTAAATCGTCCCGCAACATCCCTACAAACGGATGTGTGTGTGTGTTAATGTTGGGACAATGTACTTCACGACTTCGAAACCCTAAGTTTGAAATGCTAAGAGGACTTTACGTTGACAAGGCATGTTGGTTGCTGTATGTAATCACATCTGGCTCTACACAATTTCCCCTGTGATGAAGATGGCATTCTAACCTGTTGAGAAGCCGGACAGTTGGAAGGCCAAACGTGTTTGAGACATGCTCTTTGCTTAAAGCATAGCCTACAGTATGGCAGGCTCTTATTACTTATGATACACCGCATCTGCTAAAATGACGACAAGCGCAACGGACATGACCCTGAAATGTGTGGAATATCGGGGCTGGGCTGTTGGAAAAGCCAGAACACACATCAGCGGGGTGGCATGTTCATTCAATCACTTCAATCAGAGAAGCATGCCATCATACAAGCGAACGCCAGACAGAACACAACAAAGCTGCATGACAAAAAATAAACGTCATCAAATGGATTTGGTCACATCCAGCACTGGTATTACAGCTTCAGCACAGTTGAAGGAATGATGCAAAATGCGGACAAAACATACGGTGAAGGACGAGCGCAACGGCGGACTGCCGTACCGTGTGTGAACATGACTGAAAATGAAAATTCTTGTAAAAGGAGACATGGACAACTGACATTGGCTAGACATTGATCATTGGAGGCTTGAAAGTCATAAAAGCGTAAACTGCCATGGTGTTCTGAACTTCAGTTTCGTGAGCTACCTGAAATTGCAGAAGCCTAGAATGAAAATTGTCCAGTTGCATCTGAGAGGTGCTATTGCTTTGTGCCATTAATAATGCTTTAGTTTAGTGTGTCAGATTTGGGATCGTCACTATGGCTTTGGCTGAGGGCTTTAGTTTGAAGAGAGAGTGGACTAGACTTGGAAGTGTGTGGAGGGAGCTTTAGTTTTGGGCTTTCTGGGTTGTAACTTATGGTTTATGCTTTTGGTTTGGGCGGATTCTTGAACGGCCTCTGCATTTCTGCAATCCGCTACTGTCCTCAAGGGAGGCCAGTCGTTCCAACCTCCTTCGCATCAAGGCTGCCTGGATAAACTCCTCACAGCAAACACTCAGCCGGCAAGCTACTATAGGGGGATGCAATTCCACGGCATGGTGCAGCAGCACACTTTTTGGAGGAGCAGGCCCCACAGCTGCCAACGCAGATCCCACTCACGTTGGCTCACCTGTATTTAAGCGAGCAGGCTGACAACTGTGTCGAAGTCTTGTCCATTTGATCACCACATGCGCTTGTGTCAAATTGTTTCCCCAGCCTGCGGGCGCCTGCTATTTGTCCAAGGTCTGCTGCAACGTACCAGCCTGCTCCTTCGCGGCAATATACTTTGCCTAAGTAGATCCAGCTCCCCGGGGACAAGCACATATGGTGAGCATGATCGAGTTTCGAACCATCAGCTGCGTGGAGCGCAACGAGCTGTGCCAAAGCATTTGCCCAACGAAGTCCCCTAAGGTCAATCCGATTCAGCACGAGCCTCACGTTGACATGCCAGTACAATCCATAAAGGTATGTGCTTGCTGAGGTGCGCTGACGATCGGCGGCAAGCCGTTGCCAGCGCTCTCTTAAGTAGTCCCTGGCGGGGAGTCAGAGACTCTCCACTCTCCACAGCTCCGCAAACAGATTTCACCCCTGGCCTCAGCTCTTCCTCCAAGCGGGTCCTCAAGGATGAAGGCTCCAACCCCAAAACTCTAGCACAAGTCAATATGCGCAAGATTGCGCAAGGTCTTCGTAGCATCAAAACGCACCGTCTCAGCCAGCAAACTTTGCTTGGCCAGGGCACGCGTCAAAGCTCTCTGCCAGAAGTGCCGAGGCCCGTCGCTGACGCACCTTGCCATGCGGCTCAGGATACACATGGCCGCGCATGCCCCCCGTGCTTTCATGAGCATGAGGTTGCTTTCGAGCTCTGATTCGCCGCACCTCCCACTCCGATGGGTCACGCAAGGCTTCTGCAATGGCATCAGCGAAGGCCTCAGGATCCTGTCATCACCCTTCAATCCCAAAGCAGCAACTATCGTATGCCTCTGCCGGCTGTCAGCAAATTGGCTCCTCTGCCCCGGTCTCCACAACATAGCCAGGGAACTCGTCTGGAGGAGCAATGCCCTCAACGCCCACCGGAGTCGTAACAACTACCAAGCCATGCTGCATGGCTTCCAGGACCTCCCACACTGTCAGGCGATGTGCCAGAAGAAACCAAGCAGACCAAGCAGGCTTGTCACGGCCTTCCCCTTCACACCAGCACCATACCGCAGTGGTGCCACCAACAGCCGATGCTGCTGCATGGCCTGGTTACACATCAGTCTAGCATAGTCCAGCATTCCCAAGTACAGATGCAGCTCCTCACACCTAATCTGCTTGAGCAGAAGCTTGTCACTTGCCACCCAGAGAGAGCAGAGGGTGCTCACTCTTTCAGGTGCCCAAAAGAAGATGAGCAGTTTCTTTCTATTTTGACCAACCAGAGACGCTGAAGCTGCGGAGAGCTGTACAAAGCGGACTCCCCGCATGTCCCCGGTCCTGGCCTTCTCCACTGAGCGGCAATAACCACGCACCTCGCGCATTGCAAAGTTTGCCAGGGTTGAATCATGCCAGCAGGGACAAAGCATGATCTGAGCTCTCAAAGCAAGCAAACAGGAGCACTCGTCTTCCCCCAACAGAGTAAGATGTTGGGTCTACCGTGCAGCCTACTCGCATTGGCCGCTACGATGGCGAAAAGCTTCTTGTACTGATACTGTATGAAGAAGAACGACTTCCAATATCACATCTCACAATGAAATCACTGCAGGTAAGAGCAAACGAAATCAAAGAGCAAATCAGCAACAGTAGCCACAAATTAGCTGCCCGCGGCAGCCATGTTTCTGAGGTCATGGCATACGCACCCACATTCTCTTGAGTCAGCGCAGCATCTTCGGGAGTTTGGTTCGCGCCATAGACGCTCAGCTTCAGTTTCGGTAGCCGCTGTCGCACTGCTGGCCACACCTTCTCGATAAGCCACTTCGCGCAATCCCGGTTTGGCCTGTGGCGCCAATTCCTAAGCTAAGGTGTTGCTTGGAAGCACTCAGTAAGGAGCAATGTGTGCAGCATGCTTTCAAAGGTAAAGGACCCTGCTCGACTTGCTGGGTGAAACGGTGAAAGCTGACTCTGCCAAGCCTCCCAATGAACATGGCCCCTCTTCGTTCCTCATAGCTTGGCAGCTCCTCTGAAGAGCAATCGAAGCCAAACGGCGCTGCAACCACCTGCCAGGCCAAAAGACCGAGCACTGATCCAAACAGACCCTGAAGGCCTGAAAGAATGGCCTTCCAACTTGGCAAGCCATAGGTGTCTACCAGCAGCTCTTTCTCATGCTCCGAGATAGCCAGCGTTACATCGCATCCTGTGCTGATTATTTCAACCAATAATTTCAAAGGAATCGGATTGGGGAATCGCGTGGTTTCACAAGTAACTGCACCTTGAACTGATTGCCAGGCTTTCCTAAACGCCTTTGTGGACTTCTCCTGAAGTGGAGGTTCAACACCTCTCAACACCTCGCTTTTGCTTCGCCAAGCTTCGATGTACAGCTGCCAGTTCGCGCTGCAAGTCCTCATCGAAAGCTGTTGGCAAATAGGATGCCTTGGCGCTGTCGGGGGCTACGAAGACATGAAGGGATCCTTTGACTCTCTGCAGTTCCGGGCACAACTGCACCCGCACTTGCGTCTTCCGCAATCAATCGTTCGCGGCCTGCGTCCAGTCAAAAGGATCAGTCAAGAACTGCCCGGCTCTACTGAAGCTGGAGGGCCTAAGCGAAGCGCGTGGAAATCTTGCATGTCCAGAATGCGCATCGCATCGGGAAGCTTCTCTCGAACATAGTGCCCAAACCTGTTGTGCATCCAGTCCACTAGCCGACCTTCACTCTACTTGTATTCGACCCACCTCTCTTCAGCATTGAAGCCATCAAATAGCACCAGCTGCGGATTACCAGCTGCCTCCTGTGGCTAGAGGTTCTGAGCATACTGCGATGGGACTCTGCTGCAGTCTGACCTAAGCTGCCCCCAGAATCGCTACGCATTCATGCAAGCGATTAGAACCTGTCCAGCGCAGAGAAGACAGAGGCTTCATCGTTGGCCTTGATGCCTTCAAGTGGGCAGGGTGTTGCACGCAACGCAAAGATACAACCCGCTCCCACAGTGCAGCTGTGTTCACTTTGCCAAGCAGCGGAAGCAAGTGATGTCATGCTTTGCTGAAAGCTTCCCCTGGGCGCTGCCCGGACGGGCTGGAGAGGCAAAAGAGACTGGGCGGTGGCAATCCTGTGCGCAAGTGGATGAGCAAGCCCTCCTACTGCATCAGTTATCCTTGGCAAACCCTAGGATTAAGCAGCGGGCCTGGCAAAGGTTGCGAAGCAGTCGAAGACGGCCAGCAGTCACTCGCCCAGCAGCTGACACATCCGGGTCTGGCCAATTGGTGCTAATAACCTCAGGAACGTCTGAACAATGTTTGGGTCAGAGAAGGCCAAACTCGCCGTCACTGGTGGTTGAGGCCAGCCAGCGAGTTTAAAATGAAATGAGCGCTGATCGGAATTGCTCTACCCAGGAAGTACTGTGCAGCCTCAACACTCGACATTTAGAATCTTAAAGCCGCGGCTTTGGAAAGCTCTTTCAGAGCACCCACACCTTCACACCAAAGCCTCAAGTCTAAAAGATTGAAAGCCTATAAACCCTAAAGCCTAGACCTGCACATGCCAAGGGAAAGCTCAGAGGCTGGCAAGGCTCCCTGATTCTAACCCACACCCAGAGCGGGTGAGTTAGAAGAACCCGATTAGGGTCACCGTCCTAAGGATAGTACACACATTGGTGTCAATCTCCTGCGAGCTCCTGCCCCTCGATTGCAACCTCTACTTATGCGATACTTGTATGAAACTATCGTGCAACGGTTGCGCAAACTTACGTTGCCAGCCCCGATTAGCGCCAGTTTTCTAGAGCCCTGCACAGATGAGATTCCAGGAAGGAGCTCAAAATGAAAAAGCCAACTGAATGCACGCCGGAGGACCATCGCACGGTGCAGGTCGTGCGGTCCTTTGGATGTCTCCACTCGCTCCGAATCATCCACGTCAGGCGTGGAAGCCATCGCGATATCAGGTACGCCCTTGACCCGACGGAAAATGATGGCCAGGCGCCGATCCGACAGAAAGTCGTCCTGGGAATCAGCCACTCTTTTACTCTGATGACTCTCTGGATCACATTGCTGCCCATGCTGTAGAGATACTGGCTCCGGAATTCCATGCTGCCACGTGTAGCCTGTGCACACTGGTTGCAACTAACATACCCCACAAGCTTTCCAAATCACCGTCATTTCAGGGCAGGACTCCTGCAACCTACATGGGTTCAATGGACTCTTGCGCCCAGAAACGGGCTGCACCACGCAACACCAGCAGAGAGCGAGGAGGGATGGCCACGCGCACAGAAGGTGCAGCACCTGCTCCAGGTCTGGTGAAGCTGAAGTCTGTGAACAAAGCCTGCATCCCGCGCCTTCGTTTCCTGCAGAGGCTTTGCTGAGGTTTGAGGTCCCCCCAATCTGGAAGGTCATCACGCAGTCACCCATCACTGTGACTGAGCAGACGCACTCTTCATAGAGCCCACGATCGTCCCAGTGCAGCAACAGTCGGGAGCCGTCGCGGCTGTAGTCGTTCACGTTGGCCTTCCAACTCAGCAGCTGTAGACATGACGAAAGGCGGTTGAGACGCTAACTTGCCTCATTCGGCACGAAGCCCTTCAAGCATCGGCTCCATGGAAACCCAGACTGTGAGAGCCTTTGAGATACCTCCGCATGCCACGACATGGCTGGGGCAGGCATTTCCAAATGGATGACTGAGGGCCTCGCTTCACCAAAGATGCCTTCAGATGGCAGATCCACTTCTCCCAGTGCAGGGTCAGGGAGGCCTGTGATGTATCTCACTACTGGGAATCCAACCACCAGCTCGCAGTAGGTAATGTTAGTCCAAGGAACGCACAACGCGCGGTCTCAACGAGCCAACAGCACCAAAGTGCTTCACCTCAGCTGGCGTCCAACATGCGATCAAGGCCTTTCGGCCGGAAGGGATCGCTTGTTTCATCAAGCAGCTCTGTAAAGCGTAGGAACCCCAAACTGCTCTCGGCTCCACTCAGGCTTTCCTTCGTCCAGGAAGCTTGCCAGCTGGCGTCCTTGCTAAAAAGAGCCCCGCTGCTCTGCATGGGCTGCACATGTAATCCTCACATTGCCAAGACCTATACTCTCGCTACTCTCTCAGAATGGCTTTTCAGCATAGGGTGCAAGCCGAGGCTCCCTCATCCTCCGTCAAAAAGTCCGGGAAAAGGCGAAGCCCTTTCACCTGCTTTACGGCCTCCTCCACGCTCACCAGTTCCTCGCACTTCGGCGTTAGCAGCAACAGCGAAGAAGCAGTGATCCACATTGTTCTCAACGAACACAGACGACGGAGCAATGACCAGAGCGGTTCAAAGTATCACAATCATCATGACCATGTCAAGGCTAGTGCTGGTGGTCAGGGGCCAATGTCTCTGCTGAAAACATACAGAGCCGTCGCACAGGGACCCTCAAAGTCACCCAGAAAACCTACTAATTTTGGAGGAGACCGTTGTGTAAGACTTCCTCCTCTGCGCCTTAGTGACTCTTTTGTCAGCACTCCCTGCCCAGTACCGGCCTGCCCAGTGCCGGTCAGCTTCAATAACTCTAAACCTCGAACTCTTAACTCAAAAAATGAAACTTGAAGCCGTCAAACCCTTCAGGCCTGCGTCGCCCGAGCGCAGCTCCGCCGCGGCCGTGGGCCGCGTGAGCAGCGGGAGCTGCCAGTTGAAGCGCCTGCGGAGTATTGAAGCCAAGCGGTGCTTCTACAAGGGTGGTGAGTGTGAATTACAAGGCTTTACAGGGATTACGTCATGCAGCATGCAATCATCTGATCGCACGATGTCTCAGGATGACCCCGTTCCTCCTCCTTCACAAACCTCATGGCAACGCACACCTTGCAAAATGATGCAATATGTACTATTATGCACTGTTGAGATTAAAAAGATGCTGGTCCTCTTGTTGCCCTATGTTGCCCTGAACATCATCCACTATGATGTTGGTGGCGGCCAACCCTTTACCAGATACAGAAATCTTGTTTGGAAAGTCTCTCAATAATGAGCCCGGCCATGCCTCCGGAGAGGTACCTCACTGACTCCTATTCCAGAAGGTCTGTGGGCCCAAAACCCCACAGATGATTAGGTGCCCAGACGCATTGCATGATGCACTGCCCATGCTATGCTGTGAACCCTAGCTTGTCCCAAATTTACTGTCCACGGCAAGTGCATGCACCACACAACTTCCGGCCTGATAGGCACAGCCTCATCTGTTCTTCGACAGCAAGCTGCAACACTGCTACATCAATAAGCAGTAGTGGCACCAAAAGTCCAAAGCTTTGGGGGTCAATGGAGGGTCAATTTGAAGCGATAACCAGTGCTGCAAGTCAAGGCCACACATCTGTGGACGGCTGGCAGCCGGACTAGGATTGCGGCACAGGCAGCAAGGCCGCAGTGACTGGCGACGCGAAGTGTCGCACCTGGCCATCCTTAACTTATTTCCCATCTATCCTAACAGTGCATTAGGCGCAGTTGATCGGAAGATGGCCAAAGCAGGTATGCAAGCAGCAGCAAGCAGTGGTTGGCCTATACGATCCTAGATGGGATGATGACCGTCAACTGCTTTTTTGCGAGGCCTGGCTCGCAGGGGAGCGTCGCTGTGCCGCAGCCTAGGCAACATGCCGGAATATCAGCCAGGACCTGCATCTACCCTCCGACCGGCTCGGCTTCATGTCTATAGCAAATCAGCCAGGGACACTCTGAAATTGCCAGGCAGCATTTGACACAAAGGATGCTCTCAGCACCGGCGTTGCGAATGTCATCGAGGCCGGGCCAAGCATCACACTCGGGGTGAGACCCATTGCAGCTCTCAACCAAATCAAGAATTTGCACTGAAGCCAACTGCAGCTGCAAGTGGTGTCACACGTGCATGCTTTGTTTGGAGATATTGAAAAGTCTGTGCGACCCCGCAGACTTGTGGGCTTAAGCGTCGTTGTGGGCGATTCGACTCTCACGCAACTGGCTGATGTGGCTTCCGCAAGGAAGCATGAAAAAGTGCATGCCGAGCAGGCTGTGATGCACGAAGTCCTGAGATGAACTTCGAACCAAGGAGACCTCCTCTTCGCTTGCCTTCTTCTCTTCCTCTCTTTTCCGAGCCTCCTGTGAACAAGACATGTGAACGTTCGAATGAACAAGGACAAGGTTGGGCAAAGCATGCGTTTGCTCAGCAAAAGACAAAATCTGAACCCTGCAATCTCATGCATGAAGCCTCTCCACTTTGCACAGCTGTCAGAGCTAACCCGTCCATTTGCCAAAGACATCTGGAGGCTGCCAGGGCGAGCCGGCCACTCTCACAGCAAGACAAAAGAGTCTCGCAGGAAAACACATCTCCTCCTTCCAAACGCACAGCTTCCTGCGCCTGTAGCAGCGCCAGCTGCCATTGCTGAGATCTCACACAGGCTGCGTTAACGCAGTTGTTGATCAAAATGTTGGGCAGCAAGCCTTTACGAGAAAGGTCCGATAGCAAGAGAAGCGACTCTCGCCATCGGCTGTTCTCGCAGGCCCCAATGGATACACTGTACGCAACAAGACCACTCTGCATGTACATGTTGTCCAGCTTCCGGAGGACGTGCAGCGACCTTTGCCATTGCTTCGCACTTCCCAGGGCCCCAAGAAGTGAATTGAAAGTGATAGCATCTGCTCGCAGTTCCATGCGGTAAACTTCTTCCAGGAGCGACAAGGCCGCTTCCCACCTTTCGCCCTTTTCGCATGCACGGATGCTGGCGTTGTAGGTGACAGTGTCGCTCCCGGCACGCTTCAGCTTCAGTTGCGTCAGAAGCAGGAGGGCATGCTGCCACTCCGACTTCTTCTCACATGCAGTGATTGCCGCGCTGTACACAACTTGGTCTCCGAGAATCTTATTTTGCTCCATTGTGCCAAGTATTGCAAGCGCATCCTCCCACCGACCTCCTTTTTCAGCTGCACTTACTGCTGCACTGTAGGCGATAAGGTCTGCTTGGACAGTCGTGGATAGCATCTCGGTAAATAAGCAAATCGCAGTCTCCCATTGCTCTGCCTTACCACACGCGCTGATAGCACCACTAAAGATAACAACATCTCTTCGTAAACAATCACCGTCCAGGTCTGCAAGCAACTGCAGAGCCTGCTGCCACACCTCCTCCTTCTCGCAGGCACTGATGGCAGCACTACAAATAATCACATCGGCGGAGATGAATACGGAGCGGATCTGCCGGAGAAGCCCCACACCACTCTGCCACAATGCACCCTTTACAAAAGCACTCAAGGCAGCGCTGTAGGAGATGACGTCTTCCTGCAACCCCTGCTTTCGCAAGGCGGAGAACAATCCAAGTGCCTGCTTCCATTTCTGACATCTGACTGCACTGGATATTGATGAGTTAGCACTGCGAGTGGTTGAGAAGTCCTGCTTGTCAGCTCGGCGCCTGACATTTGGCATGATGCGCTCTCGGGGTTGCCATCCGTCTTCGCTTGGAGGTGAGCAAGCTTGACAAATTCTGCTTCTGACCTCTGACCCGAGAAGACTTGCCTGCACACGCCGTGTATGGACGCCACCAGGCAGCGGCGTCAGCGCATGGGAACATCATTGTTTCAGGGATCCATTTCCATTTTTCACCGACCATTCCTGGTGCCACTCCTACCATCTGGGCCAAAGAACATTGCACGAAGATGAACGGAGCAAACCAGAGAGCGGAGACTGATGCGAGCTTTCCGCAACGGACCCTTTCATGTGATGACGTGTTGTATGTTGGTGGATGGATGCAGTTTTCGGCAGTCCAGGACTGCTGCTCAAGCTCCTGGCCCCTACAAAGCCCTTGTGCAAGGGTTGCAATTCGGGCACATAACTATGGCCAAGCGCGTTGGGCCTGAATTGTAAGTTGTGCAAATTGCAGACCCGGCTTTGATTCCCTCAAGATCACATTTGAGAAAAGGTTGCGTACCCCGCAGCGTGCAAGCAGGTAAGTGCCCAATGTCTTGCCTCGGCTTCTGCCTCTTTCTGTGCTTCAAGCGCTTTGCGCTCTTCCTCCACCAAAGTTTGCAGGCGGTTAAGACAGTTCACAACCAGGTGGTACTATTTACAACCAGAAAATGCTATTATTTACCACCCCGAACAGCATTTTTCCAGGTCACAACGTACAATTTACAACTGCTTCCCAATTTGTGGCCCCCAGAAGGGACATTTTGCAACCATTACGAACAGCTGATGAAGGGGAAGCGCATACGTTCAGGATTGAGGGTTTAGGGAGGTTGTGTAGTGGGGTTGCTGCGACTTTTTTGGTAAGGATCGCGATACTATCCGCAAAGGAACTTCATCACAGCTGCAGGGCATACGCAACAAAACACGTTGTGTTGTTTAACCTCAGGAATTCAAATTTTGGCGGTTTCTAGTTCTTGTTCTGGACAAGCCCACTTCAGGCCAAACCTTAAGCCACAACCCTGCACCCCGCGACAAGTATCATCTCCCGAAGTCATTCCTGTGGAAAAACAGGATTCCCCAAGCCATCCCTATGTAGAATCAGATTTTTCCTAAGCCATCCCTATGGCAAAACCGATTTCACGAAGTGATCTTTTAGTATGGCCCTGAGACAGCCTTCCAGACAACCAACATCGCACTAATTAAGTCCAAGGGTTTAAGCTTGCGGGCCCACTACGACACAAAATCCGGAGCCCTGAAAGCAGCCTGTTTATGCTAGGCGTTCATATATGGGTTATATAGGGGTTATGTTGGGTTATATAGGGATAATGGAAAATACAATGGAAACTACGATAATGGGGTTATATAGGGTTAAGGGAATAGGGTTT